AGATCCACCGTGCAAGTCTCCTAGACTCACTAATTGAGCAATCGATCAGAGGGTGAAGTGGATTTAGGCAAACCTGACGTTGTACAACTCTGGATATTGAGGATTAACCATAAGATCCAGGAATAACAAATCGCGACGACGTACTTGAGCTCCTTGGTTGTGCACCAAGGGCTTCGCCGAGTGGCATTGACGGGTCCTTTAACAGAGGAAGTTATGAATCATTGAAGATCTTGGGTTTGTTCAAACTTACAATAACGACCATGTCGACATCGCTTTTGTCGGACGATACACCGTAACTTATTTGAAGTAAGCTTGGGAAGAATTGAACGTTGCTGGACTTTGCACTTACCGAGAGCTGCCGAACAGTTCAACAGCATACGACCGACCATACCTGTTTTTGATGATCGTTCGAGCCTTGTGGTAGGCGATTATTTGGGAACTGCTAATAGCTCCACATCGTTTCATTGCCTGAGAGCTGCTTTATCAATTGAGAGGCATGGCAGATGTCCAGATATTATCTGACCATGTTTAGGAAAGCAGCGTCCTCTTCATGGAGGTTGTTGACGCGGGGAATATCAGACGTTGCTGGCGAATGTGGATTGAGTGACGATGACACAAGTATGGCCTGGTCTGTTGGTACGGCCTCTTCCCCTTCACAGATGGCAGCTTGGTCTTGCAGCGAAGGAAGAACCGTCGGCTCAGATTTTGGTGCAACGGATTGAGAGGTAGATTCAGGGATCATATTGACTAATGATCCATCTTGAGGCGTCGGGGAATGAGAAGTGTGATTACAAACCTCCAACATCGCAAGGGTGTGGAGGGGAGATGATTCAGGTGCTGTGGGTAGGCTAGATTGAGCCTGACTAGCAGGTGGGATAGATATCTTCCTTCGAGAGATTGCCGGGATGGCTTTATGTCGGATATTGCTCTGCCATATTTCCTCGTGGATTTTGTTGTTGTACTTCGCCAGAGACTGGCAGGAATACGTTGCAAAACGAGCCAAGACTGCCATGGAGACACCTTCCGCATGATTCTACCCCGTCAAGGTCAAACCTGTACTTGTTCGGCCTGAGAGGCGCAAGCTTACCTGGGTCAACGCGTAGGGATCTCGAACAATCAGAGGTTGGTCTGCCCAACACTCAGGCTCAGGTGATGTCCCGGACGGGAGCACACAGGAGTCCACCGCACCACCATCTATCCAGCTCCGCAGTACAGAGGATGAAGGCGGGCTCTCAAGATCATGAATTGTAACCATCTGCGTTGTAAACTTGTTAACGTCTACCCAATGGCTTCGAGGATGTCAGATTAAAACTGACGGAGTAGATTCTGTAGCACTGGCCTGAGAAATCTTTCCCACAAGTGCTTGGGAGATGCGAGTGGATGTTCTTTCTGCGAAGTACATGAGAGGTTAAAGAGTATATAATTCAAAATTAAATACCTGAAGACACTCCCCGGTCATGATCGCTAATGCAGTAGGGTTGAATTGGGTCAAACCCAATGACCGTGTCCATCCCCAGGCTGTAAACAAGAGGTCTTTTGCGCGATCGCTTTTAAAGATCCTGTTAAGGAGAGCGAATCGAGGAAGCACATATGGAGATGGCAATGTCAGTGTTATTGGAGAGGTGAAAGGAATTCCCTTTTTCGAGTGAACAAGGAGCTGTGCAACGTAGGGATATTCATCGGAATTGGGTTCAGCGTATTGGTAGTCAGGCCAATCAGAGGTTGGCTTTTGGTCCGAATCGAGGGGATTGTTGTTCGCAGCAAGGTGACGTGCCTCATACGGCTGGTAGAATTTGCCCTCATAGCCCATCTCCTGGAGGGCAAGCGCAACTGACCTTTGAAATATCAAAATTAGTATGATATTGAATGGGATATGAGCGTGCGTACGTTGCGTTGTGAATTGGTTTGGACCTGAGCTCGGGAGTGGATGGGTCCCATCTTAGCGAAGGGGCTGGGGCTATATCGCTCCTAGTTTCTGGAATGGTTTCATCCTGCAAAGAAGTTCCATGAAAGTTGACATTTGAAGGAAAGCAAGGACACGTACCACCATTATAAGTTCGACCGGTGCGTCCGGTATATGCGCTAGGAGATATTGGCTCATGCTAACGTTTTTGATCCTTAAACCTATGCCACCCCAACGGTTCGTCAATGCGTCCTGCAACTCCAAGGCTGCCGAAATAGAATCCAACTGTCGTTTATATGTCCCGACAGGAGCATATTCTGTGATATTTTTCCAATGTGACTCGGGAAAGATGGCGGAAAGAGCATCTACGTGCTGCTGGAGGACAGTCTGTCGAGGAGGACCTCTGAGTAGCTGGTCTCGCGGATGAAATGATGAATTGTGAGCAATGGGCCTAATAATGGTTCCCGAGTGAAAGTTACCTGTATATTTCGTGGCTTGTGACCAGATCGCGTCTCTCTTTCAAGACCAAAAGGTTGTCGTCTTGGGGCACCTGTCAGGCTTCCATGCAAGACGAAACCTTCAGGGTCTTGTGACTGAAATGATGTCCTGTGAGAAGTTACCCAATTAAAGATCCGAATCAAAGCTACCTGTGAATTTTGTGGCTTTGTATCAAAATGCGGAGGTTGTCGCCTTCGGTCACCTGTCGGCTTTTGGTCCCAGGCAAGGCGGTCAGAGTCTCGCGACTGCATGATGGCCTGTGAGGCATGGTCTACGCAATAGAAGCTACTTACCTGTAGATTTAGAGCAAACATTCTCGTAGCAGGTCCAAAACTTCGATCGTTCTGAGAATCCAAAAGTTCATTCCTCCTTTGAGGGTAACTTGCTTCTGTCCTACAGTCATTAAAATAAGAGTGCCGCCGTTCTAGTGACAAAATGTCGTTCCATGGTCTCTGCGGTGGCTGAAGCGGTTTTATGTATAATAAATCCTCCCAGTCAGAATTTTGTCTGTTGTTCGTTGTGTCTGGTCGTGTTAGCGTGCGGCGAAATTCCGCTGAGCGAGGGTACCGTCTAGGACGGCCTTCATGTTTAAGAGCATTTAAGGTGGGCCGCATGCATGCAGGAGACCCGGCACAAGGTTAGTGAGTTGGAAGTTTAATTGTCAGCGGTCAGTAAGTGCTAAGCGAATTTCGAAATTCTCAAAAGAGTGCACGTGATCGTCGCACCACGTACAGAATCACGTTTGCTCCTAGTGCTCATTCCTCAGGCATCGACTTTTGATGGTTTCGTCCTCCCTTGTACAGACACTTAGAGTCCTTATATTTCCGAAGCACATATGTAGTTCGGATTCGGAGTGCAATAAGTGGGCAATTTAATATTGGTATTGGTTCGAACATTCTATAGATTCCAGTATATTGTGACCTCCGTTTTATTCAAATTTTATTTGCTCCTGCCATAAATCTTCTCCAGGAAGCTCCTGAACACTTCACGCTTCATGCCTTGGTGTTCTGCCTTCTGTCCATGCTCGTCCACGATGACACCTTCCTCCGGGATGCTGTCTATCAGCTCGTTGAGTCGCTTATAAACGCCGGCTTCGTACTCGGCGTAGACCTTGCGAAGGCCAACAGCCTCGTAGAGCTCCTTGACGCGCTTCTCGCAAAGACCTCCTGCCTCGCCATCCTGACCGTGTGCCTTCTGCTCCGTATCGGCGCCCTCAGCACCAGCTTCAAGGTCGCCTTTACGACCATAGTTGCGGTCAAGGACAAGTCGCTGTTCAGGGGTGCAGAGCCCCATGACGGTGTTTACACACCACGAGCACTTGTTATCGACGATATCAGTGCCAATTTTTCCGAGGACTTCAGGTGTCGCTGAGAAGTCGAGGAAGTCATCCTGGACCTGGAAGTACTCGCCGAGGGGAATGAGGATAGAAAGCGCAAGATCGTACGGCTTTAGGGTGGTGGTTGATTGAGGTAGTTGGACGCTGTAGGTCTCAGGGATGTTGCACATGAGCATCGCGAGAGCAACAGGTAAATGGAATGAGTAGTATGCTGTCTTGTATGTAACAATGACGCGATGCCTTTCGAGAGAAAAGCGGGCCAAATCGACAACACCCTCAGGAGCAGTGACGAGGTCTACCAGTTGACCCATCTCGGTCTTGTAGGTAATGTCGTGGAAGAGATCCACGATGTCAATGTAACGGGGATGCGAGCGGAAGTGAGTCCTAAGGAGATGGTAGATCGCAGAGTTGAGCATGAAAGAATCATTGATAGCCACCATTCCCACTGCTGGGTGCTTATGGGTGGAAGAGGTAACGGAGGCACCCTCAGACGAGGGAGCAGTTACTGCAGGCGCGGGGGAAAGGTACCAGCAGGGTTGGCTTCGGCGGGTAATGGAGGAGTCCATGATGTCGTCGGCAACGAGGAAATAGGCTTGCAGCTAATAGTCTCCATAATGAGCACAGATTCTGGTCTACGAAAGGTCTGGCTTACCAGCTCAACACTCCATCCCAACACAGCTGCTTTAAGATACTCCTCCTCGGTCAAGGGGCGTCCTTTCAAAATTTCCGCAGTATCAATAACCGAGAGACCCCGATTAAGTTTGCCTCCAGGAGTGTTGTAATCAAGGTTCTGAACAGAAAGAAATTTAGAAAAAAGATTACGTAGATATATCGATTGAACCTACGGCGCGATACCATTCGAGGGCCTCGGTAGGAAGACCCTCCTTCTTGCAATGGTCAACGAGCTCATCACGAATGACGTCGAAGACACCCTCGAATTTTCCACGGCGAGCAGCTTTAGATGACATCGTGGAGGTTGTGTTGGAAGAAGGGCGGAAATACGATTGATGTGAGTGTGTCCCCTCGTCAAGTATTTATTGGAATGAGATCTGCCGTCGGAAATCGTTGTGGATCGGACCACTTCAAATGGTGCCATGGCCTCCCTTGTGTCAATCGCTTGTTTCTTTAGATATATTAATTATATTCCTGATTCATCCAACACACAATAAATGCAGCTTCGTTTGTAGAACCTTGTCATTCAAAAGGCTTAAGATCCGGTAAAACAAAAAGAGAGATAACAATATTTACAAGTATATTTCGTAGTGCAATAAGGGGGAATCGAACCCCCGGCAGGTCGAGATCACTCTCACAAATGGCAACGACCCAGGTTACCACTACCCCATTAATGCAGCTTGCGGTGTTTCTTCGCAGACCCACCGTCTTGCAAGGTGCAACCTGGGTAATTGGCTCAATGGGTAGGCAAGGATGAACTGATCTTTCTTTTATCGATTACGCCGTAGAATACAATGAACGACACTGCCTGCCTATTTAAATATCGACTCCAAGTTACGTTCATTTGATCAAGGTCCTCCGGAGAGAGCCAAGATCTTCGCCGCGGCTTGCTCGGCCATAGACATGATTGTGCCGTGGGGGTTACCCATAGGCATTGAGGGAATCTATAGGAAAACGATTAGCTTATCGCAAGGATACATGAGACATGAGAGTGCGCACAATTGAAGCCTAAAGGGGTAGACATGGTCAGTTAGACACAACATAGAGGAGGGTATAGACGCACATCGACAACGAAGAGATTGTTGGTGTTGAAGACCTTCGTGTTCTCATCAACCACAGCTTTCCCATTAGTACCGATGATGTTAGATCCAACCCAGTGGTTAGAGTTCAAGGACGCCTTGTATAAAGCATCAGTGGGAGCTCAAGGGATGCGGGGATTGGTGTTTAAGTCTTACTGTGTCATAGTTGTTCACTATAAAGCCAGTGAGCGTCTGAACACAGCTTATCGAGTTCTAGGCGACGTACCATAGTTAGTAATTGTGGTAGTGTTGTCCGGAGTAATGAGTGTCAAGCCGCTGACTATAGATCGTAGTCAGTCGCTGATCTCAACGAAATGTGCAAGACCGTACTATTTTTGACGTTAAGAATAAGGTCGTTGATAACTTGAATTAGGACTGCTTTGTCAACAGGGTCCGTAAACCAAGGATTGACCAAAGGCCGCGCTGTCAGAGCTTCGTCAATACCGATACGGCCGCGGGAGGTGATACCAGTCGATCTTTGCGGAGATTAGTGTCAAAAAGCCGAAATATCGATTGTAAGGTGCTCACAAGTAGAGGGTGATGGTGAAGATTTGGCTATCGAAAGAAAACTATCAGTTAGCACTGAACACGCATGTTATAGGATCGGTATCGCACCTGGCGTTGTAAGGGTACGATGTTGTGACAGACGCAGCACCAGGGCGGACAGTGCCTTGTGCCTGTTTGAAAATCAGTCAGTGATTTCTGTCGACTTTCTGTAAACGTACCCAACGTGTAATGCCGTCGGAACCAGAGAGAGCACGCCAGAAGTTAAGCCTAAAAACATATATTTGAATTTATAGGTTGCGCCTGATGTAACATAAGGTGCTTTACCTGGGAGAGGATGCGGCGAGGACACCAGATTGGTCATTGAGGTATTGCTTCGAGTCGGCAGCACGAGGGCTGGCCCAGACTTGAGCCCAGTTCTCGTACGCGTCAATCGAAGGGTGAGTGAAGACCAACTGTCAGAATAAGTTGTCAGGTCCATTTTCAGTTTCGATGAATGGACTACGAACATTGATAGAGGGATTGTCGGAAACCTGTAACAACGTAAGGCTTGTGCATCTGTGGCGCAATGAATACACTTACGTTGTAACCAACGGGAAGGTTGATCCAATCCGCCTCAGCTGGAAGGTTGGGTCCAGCGGTTGCATCGTTCTTTACGTGAGTAATCATATCTGTTGGGCCAATACCACTGCGGAAGAGGATACGAGGAGAACCGAACGCTCCAGCAGAAAGAATGACTCGACCATTGGTCGTAAGAGGAATGACTCCGTTGGGGCCCAAGGAGGTGTCGTTGGTCTTGACACCGGTAATCTGAGCACCAGTGCGGACCACATTTTGGACGTAGACGTATTGCTTGTATGTGAAGTTGGAGCGAGCCTTGGCGGTCTTGAAGTAGGTCGCCACTGGGCCTCCACGCTTGCCCTTGATGAACTACAGAAGTAGACGAATTTAGAAGGGCACTTGGATGGACTATGTCACTCACGTCAAATGAACTATATCCGAAGGCATGATCCTTTTGATCGGGAACGTCATTGATAGTGACTTGAGTGTAGCCCTGGAGTTTGAGGAGCTGCATGGCTACATCAGCAGACTGTTCCAGATAACGTTTTCCATCTGTTGAGGGTGCGTCCGTGCTGGGAAGTCGAGCCTTCATTTTACTGGTGTATGGCCCATGGTTGCTCCAAGAGGAAGGCCATCCCGATGTCGTTGCGAAATCGGAGCTAGGAGGGATCCAGTACAGACTGAAAGTTTTGATTAACGAGCGGTACTGAAGGATTACCTCAGCTTACTTACGCTCCGTTAATCGTGGTTCCACCGCCAAGGAGGCAGCCTGCGAACACGGTAATATCTAAAGAAGAACATCTTAGATGGGCGTTCTACAATTTCTTTTCGGGACGCTTGAATTACCTTTGCACCACCAGAATGGGTTGCTGTCCGAGAACATGGTTTCTGGGTGGGTCAACATTTCAGACGCTGCTCAAAGAACGCCTGTACATAAAGAGCGTACCAAACAATCCGGGAATGTCGAATTTCGTGAGCTGAAGTGTCAAGGGCATTGAGCACAATATATTCAAGTCCTGAGAGATAACATCGACGAACATTGTGGCCAGCCGCCCAGTCGGGTCCATAGGTACCACCGGTTTCCCATGTAGCGGGACCTCCACGCTCCAGAAGGAGGACCTTCTTTCCGGCTTCGGAAATACGGTCTGCAACGACGAGTCCACCAGGGCCAGCACCGACAATAATATAGTCGTAGGGAGTAGCCTATGAATCATGAGTGCCTGAATGGCAGAGAAGTTATCTCACATACTGTCACAGGGGGTTGAGTAGTGGTAGTGGTGGATGTGGTGGTAGTGGTTGTGGGAGTCGGCCCACCGGTGCCCCCGGCCGCCCAGTTGGCATAGACATCGGACGCTACATGGGCCTGAGAAAAGTCCATGCCATAGAAACCGACTTGAAGAGAGGGGGTAAGGACCTCTGCCTATAACAGGAATGTATTCACTGCTTACAATCAGTGTGCTCTTCGAAGGTACTTTGAGCATCTGTAGGATCGTCAACGGCAGCTGAGGAGTAAACCCAGGCAGGTGCTCCGGAACCGCTGACGGGAATGCTCTTTGTGGTACCAGTGGTAGTCGACCACGCTAAACGATATCTTCAGTAGTTTTCAGTAGCGGAAAGTATGGCTTATATACTTACAAATACACTTCTGGCAACGATACACCCATTTCCAATGAGTTGAGTTGACTTTGGTGGAAGGAAGACTCGTCAAAACCGGTTGAGAGAACGCGCTTTGGAGCAAGGTAAGAACGCGTCGCACAATCATGAACACTAGGCATACGTAGGTTGAATATAGTCTCTGCAGCAGAAATATTAGAAAATGTGAATAATCCAAAGAAAAACAGGACATACGTGGCAAATCTGGCCGAGCTTACGACCGAGTTACCATTTGCCCATGCGACGAGGAGCAAACTCTGAAGCATGGTGCCAGTGGGAGAAACACCGGCCCATTTGGTTGCAATAGGTGCAACAATTTCACCAATGAACTCGTCGGAGTTGTCAGCAATAGGAGGGAAGACATAGCCGTATTGGACTTTGTGCGCAGCGTCGGTGATTCCCCAGAACGTGATACCATTGTCGGGGTCAGTGTAGGCTGCAGCAGATTGCGAGAGTGCTATGATACGTCGAAGTCAGAAGAGCCGAACGTAAGAGCTTCCATCACCCACCTGGTCCAACCAGCGTTAGAACGCCGAGAGCAAGTCGTAGGAGCATGGCTCTCGATAAGAAGGTGGCGATTGACAGAGTTACAGCGTCGCAATAAGGCTTAAAAGCTCTTCACAATCATGGAAAAGGATGCGAGAAAATTCCGCAAAGGCGAGAATGACACAACGTTGTTCTGTGATGTTTCCCCTTTCATATGCAGGGACAGAGGAAAATCACTATGGAGCACCGAAAAGTTTCATTGCTGGCAGAGAGGCGGAGTGAACTCGGAAATAGTAGAATAGCTCGTGACCATAAACAGGTATCTAGGTCACTTTGCACCATGATCGTTCAGCGACGCGTTCGGAAAAATGAGGAATTAAAAATAGCCAACCGCGATCCACCACCGTCATGTCTAAATGTTGCTTCACATGTTGCCGTCAACTGCTCCTGTGATCGAACAGATAGTAGTACCTTCCCCACAGTATCTGCAGGGTAGAGTTGTCATTGCGCGATCGAGATGTCAGGCAAGACTGAGAAACGAAGGTTATGCCGCGGACCATGCTGGAGGTCACGAACAAGAGGCACGGCCCGCTTCAATCAGACTGCTTCCGTTTGATGTCGGGCGTCTACACAGCAACGCCAAGGTTTTTCCAAGCAGAAATGGTGGACAAGATCTGCACAAGAGACTGTCCAATTAAATGAGTACAAATTGTAACATTCATGTAGGGATTTCTATCATTGGGCCTTTTTCTCTGCCAAGTTCACCTCAGCCGCCGCTGCCACAGCAGCCTGATCAGCTTCTTCTATACGTCTCCGAGCTTCTCTGCGTTCGCGGCCACGGGTCACCATAGGTTTAGGCTCGAGGTCAGCAAATAGGAATTTGCAAGTCTTTTCGAGAATATAACATCCAGCGAAGTCAATTATCATCATCGCCGTCAACCTGATCTTGAACTTTTGAGGCGGATGAGTGACCTCAGTTCAGTCTTAATGTCATGAATATATACGTACCGAATCCTCCATCTCGACGATTTGAAGCCATCTGTTGAGCTCAGGCATGAAATCCGTCGCACCAGAGAAAGCAACTGCGCTCGCGCCAACGAGACCCCACCATAGCGCAGGGTTCTCACGAATGCCCTCACGGAAGGGACGTCCCTATCATTGGAAGTGTCAGTGAGTTGAGAGTTTTTGGCCCCATGGGTAACTAGTCAGAGTGAGTGGTAGCGTACCTGGAAATTGATGGCAAAGGTCGATACTTGTTGTGATAAACCAAGGAGATATATCGCGGTATTGAGAAGGCTGGGTTCGAATTTTGCCTCCAGGTCAATGGGACCCCGCCTATGTATGACGCGTGGTGAGTGGATGTCATCAGGCGACCCGACATAGGGGACAACTCA